AGAATATCCACTGTGAGCCAGCCATAATGCAGTGCAGGTCAGAGTATCCACTGTAAGCCAGCCATAACCCAGTGCAGCTCAGAGTATCCACTGTCAGCCAGTCATAACCCAGTGCAGGTCGGAATATCACCTGCAGCCAGCCATAACCCAATGCAGGTCGGAATATCCCCTGCAGCCAGCCATAACCCAGTGCAGGTCAGAGTATCCACTGTGAGCCAGCCATAACTCAGTGCAGGTCAGAATATCCACTGTGAGCTAGCCATAACCCAGTGGAGGTCGGAGTATCCACTGTGAGCCAGCCATAATTCAGTGCAGGTCAGAGTATCCACTGTGAGCCAGCCATAACCCAGTGCAGGTCAGAGTATCCACTGTGAGCCAGCCATAATTCAGTGCAGGTCACAATATTCACTGTGAGCCAGCCATAACTCAGTGCAGGTCAGTGATCACGGTCTGGACAAAACCGCCGCTCAGCGCGTGTCCGGACTGCGGTCCACCATTTAGGAACACCTGCTCTAGGGGTCCCTTAAGCAGAGAAATATTGATTTTCTATCTTACTACAAGTCTATGGGGGCACTACAATACTTGCCAACAATCTAAGTTGGCCCTTTTCCACAGACCACTGAAGTAAGGGAGCACTAAACTGTCACTATTGTAATTATCACATTTTTGGCTGACCACCATTGTAAGACAGCACTACACTGACCACCAATATAAGCGGGCCCTTCCTTACTAAAAAACAACAACATGTAAGGTAGGAACAGGTCACTACACTTATTTAATTGGCAGAAAAGAAATGCTGATATTAAAATTATTAATTTAAAAACTAAAAATCATTTGATCGTATAGAGCAGGAAGGTGTTAGAAATTGGCCTGCTCTGTGTTCACTAAATACTCCATATTGTTTATTTTCTATTATTTCTACAAGTTATTGATCATGAGTAATAATTTAGTCAGGGGTTCCCGGAGACCTGAAATGATTTTAAGGGTTCCACCATGATAGAAAGGCTTGTTTAGTGGAGTAAAGAGGCTGCCTGGAAATATGGCAATATAGCTTTGAACCCAGGCAGAGTGCATCTCACCCTACCCAGGATTTCAGGAGACGCTTTCTGAGAGTACTGATTTTTAGGCTATACTACCATGGCAGTGGCAGTTCGAGCTAAAATTCATCAGCTGTAAGATTTATTAGTGAGGGACAAGCCCACAGCTCACCGCCATTTTCAATCATGTTTTCTCTTTACATTTCATTCTGAGAAAAGGTACTACTTAGGGGTGCAACTAATGATTATTTTCATTATTGATTGGTTGGCCAATTATTTTTTCGATTAATTGTATAAATAAAAAAAAATACCATCTTTTATTTAAAATAAAATACACAGATGGAGTTTTACAAAGTTTACTTCAGGATAAAACGGCATGCAAATTTTTTGTAATCGCATCGCACTGAAGTGTACAGCTTTGCAGTACTGCACTTCCAGTGTGGTCAATAAAATGTGAATAGAAAAACTCCAAGCCAATATAATAAAATAATCAAACTTTTGTTTGGTCAATCAGCAGATGAAGGATCAAAGGAGAAGGTTCTCCTGTAGGTCTGCTCCTCTGCTAATTGACAGCAGGCAGTGGACAGGTGCAATAGCCGGCCTGCTATCGGTTACTGCAATTTAAAATAGCCAATAGCAGGCTATTGCTCCCAGCCGCTAGATGGGAGACTTGATCATAGCTTTCTAACGCTGATAGTTGAAAGGAAGAGGGGGCACGGGGGGAGCAACGGTGGCATGCAGAGGCACAGCAGTTGACAGTCAGTCTCTCCTCCCGCTGGGCACCGGCTACATCGGTCTGTGTCCCCTCCGATCCCCGATCCCTATTCTAATACAGGCGGGCAGAGCAGTGTGGATCGAAGGGGACACCGATCGCAGCGGGCTTCCAGAGAGGAGAAGAATGGGGATGAAGAGCGACGGCAGTGGCGGCGGGGTGGGTGTGGGAGAGTTTTGAGATTGAGGTGTGGAGCTCTCTTCACTGCTGGGAGAAGCGGCGACTGGAGGGGATACAGAGCCCATTAAATAAGCAAAATCAATTAATCGAAGAATTAAATCAATTAGTTGTTGCAGCCCTAGTAGTACTGCTGTTCTGCCATAGTTTCACCTCTGACTTGCATCAAAAATACAGACAAGACTGTACATTTTTTTTTTATGCAATCCCAGTGGCCTTATACAGATGTCTCGTCAGTTTTAAATAAAGAGCACAGCTTGGCCAATACTTTTAACAACAGCAGCGCAACAAAGTTCAGCCAAAATACTTTGAGTGCCACAGACACTTGCAAATTTTTCTACTGCAAGGCTGATAAACATGGCAAATGGACATATGATGTATTATGCATCACGCATACACTGTACTGACTTTTGGAATGCTCAAAATGCAAGAAAAGAAAACAGTTGAATATCACTTATTTGACACCTCTACAAGTCTTATTGAATGATATGTAAACCCAAAATCTATTTTTAGTATGTTTGACTTAATGTTTCACTGTATACATTTTGCTTAAGTAACTTATTTTTTGTGAATGTATTGCAACGTTTGTTACGTTAAGATCCTGCCAGTACAGCACTTCCTTTTCCATACAGACAAAACAAAGCTGCTGAATACACTTAGCAGCAATGCTGTCATCCTGTTATGTGCATTTATTTAGTTGGCCATTTTGTTATCTATCAGATGGGAAGCCCAATGGCCAACTGAAGGCGTTCCCACAGCAGGCTTACAACACTGCTGCTAATTACAAGGCAGCTGCTTAGTGCCGTCAGGCTGCAACAGGAAGTACTGTTACTGGCGCACAGAAACATAGATTTAGGGTTTACAGAAATTTAACATAAACCAAACTAAGGAGATATCAAGACCTGCAGACAACCTTAGATAAAGTGGAGAAAAAACAGAGCCTGTTGAAAACTGCCCAAAAAGTGTAAGTGGCGAATTGGACCCAGCACCTTGCAGATAATGGTGCAGTGAAACCTTTTCTCTTTACCAGCACTGGAGGTAAAGCACTTAAAGAAGAAATGGCAGTGTGTTACTTAATTCTGTAATATGTCCTTGTAACTCCTGTACCCCTTTTCTGGTGCTACAATTACCCACAAGTATCTAAAAAGGCCCAGACAACCCAAATATTAAGAAAAAATAAACACAAAATGACAAATGTTGTGCTCTGGGGCTACTACAGGCCCATGAGGGTCTTCTGATAAATGTGACTTCATGTGGCAGATATCTACTACCTATTATACTGCAGAGACTTTAATATTGTGATTACACCCTACTCAAGAGGGACCCTGAATTTTTAATTCAGACAATAACTCATAATAATATAAACATTTATTCAAAACTAAGTACCGTATTAAGGTAAACTATGATCACAAGCACTGCATATTTACTACATGAGCTTCTATAGTTATTTAGATCTAGAGAAATAGAGTGCAGAGACTACTGCGATTTTTAGATGCCACTGATGTACTCAACAAGCAAAGCACAATATAATTGACATGCACTTATACATTACAAAAAGACAACTAAACCTAAGATCTTCATATTGCATATTCTGAAGCTCTGTTGAGGCAGACATTGTACAGATAACTGTAGACAGCTCTGCCCCAACCCAAGAACAAATGTTTGAGCACAGAACACTGTATATCTGTACACAATCATGTAAAGAGATAATGGAACAAAACAAGTAATTAATACCCATTACAAAGCTGATTTTGCTGTCTGCATAACAATATCAGAATTGTTAGGCACATGGAGGAACTCATTAAAGGGAATAGATGTCATCAAAAATAGATAATGGACACAGAGCACATTATTTATAAGATCCAGAACATTTTTCTAAGCCTGTCACTATAATGGTTATGGTTAAGGTCATGTCACAGCAGGAATTTTGTAGCCGATTCAAATCTTTCTTATTTTCGCAGCTGATCTGTAGCTGCCTACAAAACTTCTCTATGCGGCTAAGAATCGCAGGTGTGCCTTAGTCATTAGCAGCTGCATTGGATAACATGAGAAGCTACTGAAGCCAGCGATTTTGTAGCTAGTCAGCAACGAAGCTTAAGATCACTGAAAGAACCTTCACCGATCTTGCAGTTTTTTTCTACAAAAGTGATCAGGAAACTGAACGTGGGCATAGAGCACCACCGAGAGATCCCAACTCTATCCCACTTTTTACTATCAAGTCAGATATACAAAAATGAAGGAAAATGCTGACTTTGCAGTGCCCATTACTCAGTAACATGAATATTAAAAGCAACAGCAATTTCTGCTTTGTTTCAGTCTGTTCTGTACCCTTCATTCATACGTGACACTGTGCCTTTAACTGGATTGTAGCACAAAGTGGTATGGTCGAGACATTATTCTGGGACCTCAGCTGTCAGTAAACCATTGTTTAGGGACTCCATAAATGCAGTGCTCCAACAACATAATGTGCAATATACTAAATCTTGTCTAATAAGATAATATGGAGAGCCCAAATATATTCAGAGACCATAATGTGAGCCCTCCTGGCACATTTAGTGTATTGCTATTTACTGATTGCACACGGAGTGTCCTAGATTCTGATCTTGCTGCAGATACATGGCTTTCTATCCAAAACAGCTTCCCCTAAACAGGAATGTGCCGCCTTTTTGATGGATATTGTTGACGTGAATCAGCCGCTAGTTTTTGTTGACATTTTTGTGGCAAGATCAAAGCGTTTGAGCTTTCACCTCTTCCCACTTACAGCGGGCATCAGAAGAGGGTATCGCTATTATTTAGATCATGCAGAATGCAGCAAGAGAAATGAGACTCCATGCTTAGTATTGATAACAAGGCACTGCTGGAGGATGTGAGAGACTTGAGCAGCCAAGAGGTACTACAGTCTACCAGTGTCCATCCATAATTCTGTTTTTGATGAAATTAGCTTTTAAACAATGTATTTGCATCAGACAGAAGCAGTTTGTTCTAGCAGCGATAGTAATTTAAAGCGTCCTTACCTCTGCTTGGAAACTCTTTAATAACGGGGCTACCTGTTTGCGAAAGTCCTGCAAAGGAGAGAAGCAATAATTAGAGTTGTAAAATCCATATTCAGAGCAACCAGTGCAAAAAAAAAAGCAAGTACACTTCATTTACAATCCCTGTGGCTTGGCGAATCCATGGGCTGTCTCCGCTTGGCAAATTAGACTTTAATTATGCTCATAGAAATTTCCTATACGCATGAAAATATTGCATACTTACACATTATAGATCTCATAGGAGAAGTAATCTTAAACATGCCCCATAGAATAAAATTTCTGGCAATAAAATGATAACTTTTGTTACTAATCCAGGCGAATGGTAGAATAGCAGGCCATGTTTAGATCTTGGCAGCTTTGGGTCTCCAGAGGCCAGCCTTCATTTCCAGTTCTATTTTAAAGACCAGCTCTAGCCAAATGTATCCCCCCCACCACAACCCCCCATTTTGGCAGGCGTCACCCTTCCCCCTAAACCAAGTTCTTTGGGAGCTCTTAAAAGCTCCTCGCACTAAGCCTCGTTCTTTGGCAGCTAGTACACAGGATTTCTTAAGAAAAACAAGCAAAACCCTTTTTTTTTTTTTTTTTAGCAATGAGCAAATCCAAATGTCTTATTAAATATTTCATCAATGCATTAACCAATTCATGGAAACATTTACACAGTGTTACAAATTCAGCAACAGTTTATATGATTCAAACGGTCTTCGAATAATTTATTGTAACAGAAGGGGCACACAACTTGTTTTTTAACAAGAAAAATTAGGGACATTTATCAACTTATGCTAAATAAGAGCTGGATGCCCACAACCAAAAGATTTGCTGTGGGCGACACAGTTCCTTCATGGTAATATATAGGGCCAAACAAACCAGAAATTGGGCACAGATATGTGATGGCAGTCAGACGATTTATCTTTTTTTCTTTTTAAAGCTGAACTCTTGGCAGGTATATCAAAAAAAGAACTAATATGTAATCCAGTTATGTACTCCTACCTACATGCCCTCCCAGATATCCTCCTGCACAGGAAGGAGAGTCAATAGGGGCTCTACAACGTTGCCCATACTGTCTGTGCACATACTTTCCAGAGGGAAGAACACAGAGATGCCCTTATCAAGTGCTGCCGCTTTCATGTCCAGCCATCAGAAGGATGTTCCAATATTGGTATCGGTACCGAAACCGAGTATTTGTGCTCGTACTCGCCAAACTGCTCCGATACTTACCCCGATACTGGTACTTCCGGTCAGAGGGAGATTCCCTCTGACCGGCAGTGCCATGAGGGAGCATGGAGCCGGCTTCCTGATTTGCTAAGAAGCTGGCTTCACTTGCCGCTAGGCAGCCTGGCTTCCTGATCAATCAGGAAGCCGGGGCTGCAAGTCATGAACCACCTCCCGGTTTCCTGAGTGGCTAGGAAGCCGGCTTCACACTGCTTAGCGACAAAGCGAGGCAGGATCATGTCAGGAAGCCAGGCTGCCATGCAATGTCACGAGGGAGCGTGAAGCCGTGTTCTTTCGGCAGAACACCAGCTTCCCAGGAAATCAGGAAGCTGGGAGTTTGGTCACGACCCGCCTACCGGCTTCCAGATAAGCCAGGCCCACTGTACCTTGGGATGCCAGTATCGGTATTCGCCAACGGCGAGTACCGGGAAAAAACATATCAGTACTCATACTCGATACTGAAAAACAGGTATTGGTGCATCCCTGGTTTAAAGAGCATGTAAAGCCAACTGGTTAGTGCTAAAGCCAGTCAGCAAGTGCTGCGATGGCCAGCTATTCAGTTTACCTTAAAATAGCCATGCCCACAGTGGGTGCCACTTGTTGGTACTCTTCCATCTGGCATCCTTTGATCAGAAAATCTGAGCAGGATGCAAAATCTTTGGACGAACAGTGACGGTAGCCAATTAGCTTCATCCACGCTGTACAACAAAATATATAAAAGTATATGGCCATTTTAAGCCTCCAATCACAACTGAGCAATCTGAATCGCGTTTCCAGAAGCACTTCCATGTTTGACACTCAGATTTCTATGTTATTATATTATGCCCATTCACATCTGAGTAATGTGATGTCGTTCAGCTCGGAAAAAAGTGTAGAGACTTCTTTGGGACATGACTGCGCATTTTTGGCCCCAATAGACTTAAATAGAAGTCTGGCACCTGAACAACACATTTAAATCACAATTTTCCATGATTTTGCACCAACAACTGTACCCTGTTCACAGTAACTAGCTTTCCATTGGCTAAAACAAGAATCCTGAAGCCTGAAAACTTACAAAAAATATGTGTGTACACATGCTAAAGAAAAAAAACGTGAAAAATGACCAAAGACGCCAAAGCTTACATGTGAATGAGGGCTAATCTGAGGTCTGTGTAATCCCTTGCAGAATTACCACACACGGCTCCATAGAGGGCCAGTAAGAGCATACTTCCTGTGCTGCAAAACATCCACTTTCTTTACATCCTGTATCACCAATCACATCCATACCTTCAAGGCAAGAATCGAACTGCTACAAGAAATGCCTTTTTTTTTTCTTCAGTATGTCAGGGGCAGCAAAGAACCTACAATGTGTCTTTCAGCATTATTAGCATGCGTGCTCCAGGATCAACAGATTACTGCTAAACGGGACTGTAGTTGACTGTATGCATCTCATAGTTTAATTTTAATGCTTCTTGCTGGTATGCAAGTCTAACTGCAATGTAATTTGTAGAAAGGTCAGGGACCTGTACTGGATGCCTAAATCACAAACCTGACTGAACACAACTGCAAATTCCTTGACAGGTACAACATTGCACATACTGTATAGTATTTCAACAGTGTATTTAGCTGTGTGCCTGGAGTTCAACTTTAGTCTGTTAAAGGGGGAATACTGCATTCATCCCTCCAACACTGACATTGTAACACTGGGTGACAACAGCTTATGGACTAAAAGTTGTTAATTCAATCAATGACCTTTCTCCTCCAGTGAAAGAGGGTCAATGAAAGAGGGTCAACCCTTTCCACTGTGGTCACTGGTGTTTACAAGATAGACTTAATTAATTTTTGTATTTATTTTTAAAAATATGAAACTATAAGCAGCAAAACTTAATTAGCTTTTAAATTAGCTTTAAAACAAACTCCCATTGACCTTTGTAGCTGCAAACACAGAGGAGCAGTTCATCCTTAAAGACCAGCAGTGATGTTGCTTATATTTAGTCTCAGCATTCTGCTTTCCCCTTCTCAGAGCTCTTAATTTGTGTTTACATTAGAACTTAGAAGGCTGGAAGGCAGGAGAAGGAGCTGAGCTACTAAAAGTGAAGGTGTTTCTGCTGTAAACTTTGAGGATACACTACCCCACATTGTCTGCAGGCACAGAGGTCTGTGGGGGTTTGTTTTTAAGCTCATTTACTGCTTGGTGAAAGTAAGTAAATATCCAACTGTCCATAGGCTGGCCACAGTTGCACACATATATACTGTATATAAACATTTATTTCATTCTGGTTCGGCTATATGACACAAGGAGATGCATTCAAAGAGATCATTCAACTCTGTGCAATCATAAATTACTATAGATAAATCTGCTAGTAAAAAACACGGACAATAAAGACGGGCAGGGCCCTCCTTACCATCTTGTCTTGAATCGTATTGCGATTGTAAGGTCTTCTTTATATTGTAAAGCGCTGTTGGCGCTATATAAATCCTGTCTAATAATAATTATTATAATAAAAGAGGCTGTGCTGGTACATGGCCAGCTTCATCACTTAGGACATACATGGAAGATACCTTATAGATGAATACTGACCAATAAGAATAACGCCTTAACTCAAATACAATTTGTTGCATGACCTTAGACTTGGAAAGAAACCCGATTATCATCCCCCCCTCCCCTCAAAAAATAAAAATAAATAAAAGTCTGCATATAATTTACTTCTCAATTAAGTGCTTAATAGAGCCAGTGGGAGCATCAACCGTGTAATCATTCAACTGATCAATACTACATGGCACATAAAGACTCCCTGAATACGGACACTGAACTGTGCTTCAACATATATTTAAATATACAGTATGCATTCATGATAGAGAGTGATAGATTTTTAGATTGTTGGTAAACAGTCAAAGTTTTTACTATAGTATATATATATTAATTTTTTATTTTTTTTATTGAACTCTAGGCAGATATAAAGCGACACACATTAATCCAGCCTTGTAATCATTCATACATGCAAATGCATTTTTCATTGCAAGCAGTGTAAGTACCTGTATTTGACCTGGTAACAGGCTATTTTAGTCCCTGTGCAGCACAGCTGGAGTGTGAGAGGAAGCAGCAACACAAGGAGCCAACCAGTTCATGTGCTAACAAGGAGCATGCTGATAAGAGAAAGCAGAGCAACCCAAAGATTTGGTCATCATTGCGTTGCTTCTCCTTTCACTGTCCAGTCACAGGCTGGCCGCATGGTGCCATGGTGAACTGGACCTGAGATTTGCCAAACCCTGTATTAAAGTTTTTTTTTTTTTTAAGAGGATGTGCGGTTCCCAAATATAATGCGATCCAATAAAGCATTTGCGACACATATCAGTCGGTGGGTATGTAGTTGAAATTCATGAAAACCCTGCAACATTTTCATTGTTAATACTGAGATGTGCAACAAATTCAAGTCGAACAAATTGTTGATTGTGTAGCATGTGTAATTATTGTGTGATATCTTTGAGACAATTCCGTGACAAAATTTGTCTTCAAGTTCATCTGCAACTGATATTTGATACATTTCTATTATTCTTCTCACTCCTCCAAATAGTTTCTCTGCCTTCAAAACTCTACCACTTCAGATGCGACAGTTCAGTCAGAGATGCATCAAACTTGTATACACCTTACCAACATGTACATGAATCTGTTTATCTCACTACCGTTAGATTTATAATGGCCGTCTACGACACACTATGAATTGCAGTGAATGTATCTTTTACAAGGCAGCTTCTTCCAGCATAGTATGAAAATAAACCAGCAACCTTCTAATTAATATGATTTTTTTTTCACTCCCCTCCCAGCCATTCCCAAAGTGAAT